GGTGGGAATGCGTTCTCTGTCCCCGCCAAAGGGTTGTCCCATCGGTCCCTGGAGCTCGTAATGGATTCGCCCGCCCAGGCCGACGCTGCCTCCATCACTGTGGTCTTCAGTTCCAAATCGAATCAAAACTTTTTAACTCTAGAAAAATACAGTGAGACAAGAAGTTGTTTGATAAAGCCCTAGCAAATCTAACAAAGAAAAAGCGTGAAAAAAGTAAATCCTACAAATAAATGAAAGGGATAACATTACAACAGAACCAAATGATATTTTTAAAAATCACACAGAACCATGAAAAATTGTCTTCCAACAAATTAAAAAATCTATTAAAAAGTGGATACATTTCTAGAAATGCATTATTTACCTAAATGACAACATACTAATGTTGAATATCTCGACAGGAGAATAAATAGATCTAGTCAAAAATTTAGGGGCCAGATGGCTTCAGTGGGAAATTATCAAGCATTTAGAGAAGAGTTACTACCTATGCTACATACACTATTTCACTATCAAACACTTAGAGAAGAGTTAGTACCAATGCTACACAAACAATTCTGCAATATGCAAATAAATGGATAATATATTATTAAACTCATTTTTGAAGCAATTGTAACTCTCATACCTAAGCAAGGCAAAGACATCCCCAGAATTGAACATCATAGACCAGTGTCTCTGACGAAGATCAACATCAAGGTTTTCAATAAAATCCTCGCCAACAGAATTCAACAAAGCATCCTCCTCCAAAAAAATTGAAAATCATGATCAAGCAGTATTCACTGCAAAATATGTAAGGATGGCTTAATGTTAGAACAACAATTGATGGAATTCACCACATAAAACAAAATAAAGGAGAACCATCTGATTATATCAATTCATGCAGAAAGAGCAATTGATAAAACTCAACAATCATTACTGATTAAAAGCTCTCAATAAAATAGGAGTAAAAGGAAAAATCCTCAGCAAAATAAAGGCTTTATAACAAAATGAACAGCTAGCATCTCACTTAATGGGGATAAATTGGAATCATTCCTCCTTCAAACAGAAACCAGACAGGATTTTCCCTTATCACCGCTTTTATTTAATATAGTCCTGAAAATTTTAGCAAGCGCTATATCAGAAAATATATATTAAAGATATCCACATCGGCACAGAAGAAATAGAACTCCTTTTATTTGCAGATGATGTAATCCTATACATACAAGGCCCCCAAAATTAAATTTTAAAATTGCTGGAAGTAATTGAAATTTTTTGCAGCGCAGTTTTCTATAAGATCAACATACAGAAATAACTTGGATTCTCACATAATAAAGAAAATATTCAATATATTAAAAGAATAATATTTATAATAACTACTCAAAAAGATAAAATATTTAGGAATATATCTTACCAGTAGAGTGAAGGACTTATACAAGGAAACCTACAAAACACTCTTACACGAAACCAAATGAAAGCTACCATGTTCCTGGGTAGGCTGATCAAACATTGTGAAATGTCAGTGTGTTAGTCTGGGTTAAGTAGAGAAATAAATTCATAGGCACTCATGTGTGGATAAGAAAGAGCTTTATATCAAAGAGCAATTTTATACCGAGAAAACATCCCAGCCCAGTCCAGATCAAGTCCATAAGTGCAATATGAGCCCATATGTCCAATACTAGTCCATAAATTCCTCTTTAGACTCCCACAACACGTGAAATGATGCCAAACGCAGGAATACCATAGACCAGTGGGTAGAGGTCTTGTGGGTCCAGTGGCAGTGGAAGCATCTCAATGCTGGCACAGGTCTCCGCATATCTCCTCCCGCTCCCTGAGTGTCTCAACAGCAGAAAAGGGAAGGTAGAGAGACTGGGTCTGGCTTCCAATGAGCTATTTATCTCTGTCAAGCCTCCAAATGAGGTCATCTAGCTGCAACCTGATTGGCAGGCTAGACTTCACCCCTTCACTCAAGTTGATAGGAGATTACGTAACTACCACAGTCATATTACCAAAAATAAATTCAATGCAATTCTGATCCAAACCCCACTATAATTCCTCGTAGAAGTGGAAAAACAAACCACCAAGTTTATATGGAAAAGAAAGAAACCCAGGATAAATAAAACAGTGCATGACAAAAAAAAAAGGAGGAAGTCTTTTACTCCCAAACTTTAAAACCTATTATATAGTCACAGTACTTAAAAACAGCCTGGTCAGCAGACGGACATTGGGCCTCTACTCAAGTACTCCCTCAATGCAAGAACACTTTGTTCTAATAACCCAGCATTCTGTGATGCTCGCCTTCCCAACATGATCACCGAAGACAAAATGGGTGCATAAGCAAATGTATTGAAGAAAGCTGATGGTACCCAGCTATCAAAAGATATAGTGTCTGGGATTTTAACGGCTTGAAGATAAACAAATGGCCATCTAGCTGAGAAGCAACAAAGTCCACATGGAAGAAGCACACCAGCCTGTGTGATCATGAGGTGTCAATAGGATCAGGTATCAGGCATCAAAGACCCAGAACAAAAAAATCATATCAATGTGAATGAGGGGGAGTGCGGAGTGGAGACCCAAAGCCCATCTGTAAGCAACTGGACATCCCTTTACAGAAGGGTCACAAGGAAGAGATGAGACAACGAGACAATCAGTGTGCAGTATAGCACAGATGAAACATACAACTCCCCTCCAGTTCTTTAATGCGTTCCCTCACTCCCACCCCACAATCATGACCCTAATTCTACCTTACAAATCTGGCCAAACCAGAGCAGTACACTGGCACAGATAAGAGCTCGCAACACAGCAAACCCAGGACAGATCAACCCCGCAGGACCAATAATGAGAATAGCAATACCAGGAGGGTAGGGGGAAGGTGCGGAGAAAAGGGGGAACCGATCACAATGATCAACATATATACTCCCCCACCAGAGGGACGAACAACAGAAAAGTGGGTGAAGGGAGACATCAGTCAATGTAAGACATGAAAAAATAATAATAATTTATAAATGATCAAGGGTTCATGAGGGAGGAAGGGTGGAGGAGGGAGGGGGGAAATGAGGAGCTGATAGCAAGGGCTCAAGTAGTAAGAAAATATTTTGAAAATCATGATGGCCACTTAGGTACAAAAGTGCTTGACAACATGGATGGGTGGATGGATTGTGCTAAGAGCTGTAAGAGCCCCCAATAAAAATGATTTTTTTTTAAAAAGAAGGAAAGGAATTTGAAGCAAAACAAAACAAAAACAACCTGGTACTGGGACAAAAGCTATAAAGACGAATGGATTAGAATTGAGAACCTAGAAATAGAATTTTGTACCTCCGGACACCTAATTTTGAGAAAGGACTAAAACACATTAACTGGAAAAGAGGTAGCCTTTTCAATAAATGGTACTGGAGAAACCTGATCTTTCCCTGTGAAAGAATGAAACAGGATCCATACCTCACACCATGTACAAAAAAGAACTCAAGATGGATCTAAGACCTAAATAAAATAAACCCCATAACCATAAAGACCATCGATGAAAAAAATAGGGACAAGCTTCAGGGCATAAACGAAGCATAAGCCCAGTACTGAACATAATGAAAAATATCCACACCCTACTAAAATGATGACATGTACGCACATCAAAAGGTGTCCTCAAAAGAGTTCAAAAGAGAACCCACAGCTTGGGAAAAATATTTAGTAATAATACATCAGATAAAGAGCTAATCTATAAAATCAATAGAAAACTACATGTTAACAAGAAAAATATAGATATAAACTTAAAAATGGACCAACAACCATATGAATACATGTTCACATTCATGAGCAATAAGAGAAAGACAAACTAAAACGACTATGAGATACCACCTCACACTGACACTTTCAGCAAAATTAAAGAAAACAATAAATGCTGGAGAGGATGTGGTTTGGAATGCTCACACATTGCAGGCGGGCCTGTAGAATTGTACAGCCAGCATGGAAAATCAGTATGGCTCTTCCTTAAACAAATGCAAACCTTATGATTCTGCAATCTTTATCCTGGGTATGTACCCTAAAGAAATAAAGCACACAACAGGAACAGACATATGCACACCTATGTTTACTGCAGCAATTTCCATAATAGGAAAAACATGGAAATAATTTTTAAAACCTCCAGTGATAACAAATGGATAAACTGGTGCATTCATACAATGTACTATTATGCATCAATTAAAAATACCTCTTAAACACTAAGACATGAACAAAATGCGAGCAGTATGTTTAGCAACGTTAGTCAATCTTATAAAGGCAAATATTTAATCATAACATTATTATAAGAAAAAACACCAAAAAGGGGTTTCTACATCAAAAAGACTTCGAAGACTATGAGGAGGCCAGGGATGGGGGTGGGGACCGGGAGAGGGGCATGATAGGATATTATCGAGGGAGGGTGGGAGGGATGGTGGGCATATGCAAGGATAACCACATTTAAGTGGTTTAACAGGATAGAACATGCGTCCTCAAAAGCCAAAACAAAAAGCCGCGTGAAGGTTCAGAGGCGTAAGATCCTTTAGATTCCTGACCCATCGGACCTAAATATTGGCCCGAGTGGCTAGCTACAAAAGCAAAATTGGAAGAAGGCATGGAAGGTTTTAGTCACATCCAAGTTCCTTCCAGACATACGGGGGTAAAAACTAAAGCTTAGGGACTATCCAGTCTCGTTGCTCTACAACACTCTACATTCCCAGGAAGACAGACTGAAGCCTTTCTACTCAGATATTTATTCCAGACAAAATCCATGATTTTCTGGATGCTGAGAAAATGTTGCAAATGCAGTGCCATTAAGGCTCCTTAAGGTGGTCATGAATTTGAGTGAACATTTTCTCTTTGCAACCGGATTTAACAGGTTGGAATAAAACCTTACGCACGTATAGCTTGAGAATCAACATTTGCAAAAGTCCTCGGCCTTCTTTTAAAAGCCTAAAGCTGAAGGGAAAACACAAGGAGCGCGCAGTCTTTTAGACAATGTCAGTGGCTCTGAAAAGAGCCTTTGCGTTCTCGGTGTACAATTACTTGGCGCTGGTATACTTGGTGACGGCCTTGGTGCCCTCGGACATGGCGTGCTTGGCCAGCTCCCCGGGCAGCAGCAGGCACACGGCCGTCTGGATCTCCCGGGACGTGATGGTTGGTTGGTTGTTGTAACGCGCCAGGCGGGACGCTTCACCGGCCATGCGTTCGAAAATATCGGTCACAAAGGAATTCATGATACACATGGCCTTGGAAGAGATTCCCGTCTCCGGGTGGACCTGCTTCAGCACCTTGTAGATATAAACGGAGTAACTCTCTTTGCGGGATCTCTTGCGTTTCTTCCCCTCCTTCGGAGCTTTCGTCGGCGCTTTCTTGAAGCCCTTCTTGGAAACGGTAGCTCCCTTGGAAGTTAACTCCGGCATGATCGGTGTTCAGCTCTCTTCCGCAGAAACTGTGCGACAGGCACCCGCAAGACCTGCATTTATAGGCTTCAGCTTAGATGACGTTTAGAGGATCCAGCAGCTGATTGGATAATTTGGAGGTCTGTATGTAAATGTAGTGATTCCCATAATACTCTCTGATTGGCTAGAAGGCTAACAGCCAATCAGATCAGAGAGCAACCTACCATTCGATGTAAACAGACTACAACAGAGCTAAAATGGAAACCGGATAGCTTTATAGCACGCTACCATTAATCATGCCTGCACGTGAGAAATAGGGCATCAAAATAGGCATTCAGGCTAAGCCTCAGCCTTAGCATGTCGGCCTGCAGTTTCTTGTGGAGTGAATCCATCCTTTACTATGGAAAAGCAACTATGTCAAGCGGGTCAGGGCCGGTGTTCCTGTGTCTCTGGCGGTGATGTGGGAGTATCTGAGAGCTGAGCTCCCGAAGATGGGGGATAGCGTGGCCCTTAACAAGAAGATGCGCCAGATGCCCAACACCCAGGACTCATTGCTGTCCAAGAAAACTTCGAGCCATCACCACAAAATCTAGAGCAAGTAATAACTTTTTATTAAGTGGTCAAGCCGTGTCTCGCCTGGCACAACTGGAGAAGTGGGAGAAATACCCTAAAGCGAAAAGCTTTTGTAAAAGCCACCCACAATTTCGAGAGAAAAAATGCGTGTGGGCGATAAACATCAGTAGCTGTTTGAGTCACAAGCATTAGACTCCCAATGAAAATAACTGACCATATCGCTTCTCGGCCTTTTGGCTAAGATCAAGTGAAAATAACTGACCAAAACTCCTGATTAGAAAGTTATGTTGATTTGGGAGACAATTTTGAGTTCTTAGAATTGGTTCCCCCAAACCGTTCGATTAAGACTAAATATTGACAAAAACCCATCAGCAGGGTGGCCTTGAATTGGCACCTAAATTAGATACAACAGCGAGGGAATTGGGCTCCTGGTGTGAACAATGTCATTCTAAAGACATTCTTGGAGTCTGTAGGGAATGGAGCAAACTGCAGTTACTCCAGCTTTAAGATCACTTCCTAGTTCTTGAAACAATCGTCGGAATGTGGGGAATCCTACTTTAGCTCTTGCATTTGAAAGAGAAAGATGGTGCCTAAAGGAGTGGATTGGAACCCACAGAAAGAGGTATGTCGAATAGTGCTGTTTGGACCCCACCTCTGGGCAGCAGCCCAATGGTACATCAGCCGATCAGCAAGGCTGCATGATTTCTCAGAAGGTCCTTCTGGAAAGCATGTTCCTTTCAAACCTGGGAGGATTGCTCAAGGTCGGGAAACCTTTAGTGTTAAGTGCTGGCAATTCAGTTCCTTCTCGTGACTCTACATAGAAAAGGATCAAGGGTCCATTTGTGTTGTGGCTGCCTTACTAGACGCCGCCCAGTCAGTTCTGACCCACTGTGGCCGTAGTGATTACAACAGAATTAACCCTGCTCAGACCTGTACCATGCCTGTGATCATTGTTAAGGTAAAGTCCACTGGGGCAGCCCCCTCCATCAACCCGTCTCTTCGGGCGTCCTATCTTTTTGCATGATCCTCTATTTTGTCCAGCCTGATGTCCTTCACCAGGAAATGGCCTCTCCTGATAACATGTCCAAAGTACATCTTTAGATGTGACATGTTTATAAGTCAAAAGATAGAAACAGTTAATTTTTAAATTAAGGGTGCTTCCGTGTGAACGTTTGGCTCTTACAATATTATACAAAATATGTTCAGTAACAAAGAAATAGAATGTGTCTTAAAATGTAGAATCAGAGACCTAAACAAACAAAACTCCTTGATGCCATGTGTAAAAGTCTAGTGTCAGTGTGTTAGTCCGGTAGACTAGAGAAACAAATTCATAGACACTCCTGTGTATATAAGAAAAAGGTTTATCTACAAGAGCAGTTGAATATTGAGAAAACATCCTAGCCCAATCCAGATCAAGTCCATAAGTCCAATATTAGCCCATATGTCCAATACCAATCTATAAAGTCCTCTTCAGACTCATGAAACACATACAACGCCGAATGCAGGAAGATCACAGGCCAGTGGGTGGGAAGTCTTGTGGATCCAATGGTGTTGTAAGCATCTCCGCGCTGGCAGGTGTCTCCACGTGGCTTCTTCAGCTCAAAGGGTCTGGCTGCCATCAGCCTGTCTCCGTGTGTCTTGTCAGCTGCAATGTCTCCCAGGGAGTGAGTGAGTGTGCCCCCTCCAGCAAGCTATTTATCTCCTTAGTGCCTCCAAATGAGGTCTTCAAGCTATAACCTGATTAACACTACCTGATTAAACGCTACCCCTTCACTAGTAAGTCTCAAATTGACAGCAGGTTACGTAACTGCCACAATCAGGAATGTGACAAGAAGCGTTTCTAGCATCATAATTTCAGACACAATTCTATTCTTGGGGGCAATTTCTTTTTCTTTTTTAACTACTAAAAGAGAAGCAAGACTGTTTTCTGTTGATCTGTATGTACTCTACACGCCAGGAGAAATAAAATTAAATTACCCCTCCGTGAGGCTGGCAAATATAAAATTATTGTAAAATATTCAACAGACTGGGAAAAAACAAAACTTCATTAGTTATCTGAGGTTCGGGTGGAAAGCCATCCCTAGAGACTGTAGGTCAGCAGGTAGATGCAGGTAGGAAGAAAATTATATAGTTCTTTGAGAAGGTTAGTAACAAGAGAAAACAACATGATATTGAGTATGCACAATTAAATTTATTTTTAAAATCATCTGCTGAATTATTCTCTATAAATATGAAGTAAGGCCTCAGATGGGAGCAGGGAGGGACAAAAAAATGAACAAATTTGAAAACTATAGAAAGAGAATCACACAGACATATTGTACGAAGCTATATTAAAATGTCTAGAGCGTGAGACATGAAATTTTAGAATCAAGGAACAATACAGGTATGAATCAATGATTGAATAAATAAATAAGGACTATGAAACAAATATCCTTATTCCAAAATTTTTATATAGATAGACGTTCATGCCCCAAGGAAATGGAGCTTAACTCCTCAGATTGGCTTCCAAAACATAGAATATGGAAAAGCAGGGGAACGGGTAAGAATGGGAAGTAGCTTTGCAGTGAAGAAACCAGGAAAGCCAGATGACCAAGGTTAACGTCGGCAACAACCCATGTTGATTGCATGTTATGATATGTCAAGAAGAGCATTTCGTCCTGTGGCCTTCCTTTCTAATATCCATAACCCTAGTACAAGCATCCACCACAAGGCCTGCAGTTCAAATCCACCAGCAGCTCTGTGGGGGGAAGATAAGGCTTTCTCCCAAAGGGGCAGGTTGATCGTGGTCTATGAGTCAGAATGGAGCTGCTGAGAGTGAGTTGTGTGTGAGTGATCAATATCAATTTTCTACCTGGTGGGGTAAAAGGGTCCTGGTTGGGAATAGAATCAGGTTAGGACCAGAGTGTGTGAGTGAGAGGAACCCCTCTAAAGGGCAGAATTGCTTGTTATTCGTTGTTTTAAATATGCCGTTTTACACTGTCTTTTTTTTTTCCTGAAAAATCTACAACACTTCCTTAAACCTAAAACTCACACACAGCCTGGGATAATGTAAGGATGTGCTACAAACTAAAGGATCGTAAAGGAAAGTGGAAGCTGCTGGAGCATCTATCTCTTGGTACCTCCACTTCACAGAGGCCCTGTCAGTGTGAAGTGTGCTCCGTGGCCCTGGTGGCCCCAGGAAAAGGGAGGGAGCCTCGTGATGCTGAGCGGCACATGAGTTATTAGAGGCCACTCTTGGAAGGGAAAGAAATGGGGGCAGAATGTGATGTTTGGGCTCTCTGCGAGGCATTTTCTCCAGATTCTCTGTGCCCCTATCTGCCTGGCCATGAAAGCTCACAAAGCTTTGCAGAGCCGCCAAACCAAAAGGAATTCTGTTTTGAAAAGATGTGTGAATCAGATAGCACTTTGACGCTTTTACATTTCGCTTCAACTCAACTTTGCCCTTCTGAGTTGTAGTTCCCCCTGGAATGTTCTTCCTGTCCTCTTAACATTTATTTCTATAGACCATGTGTAAACATCACCTCCCTTGTGACGCTTTTCTTGACATTTGCTCCACCTTAAAACCATTTATAGATTACAGTCTAACATTAAAAGAAAGAAAAACAGTGCTTACAATGGACTGATAAGCAGCATCATGATAAATGGGGAGCAGGGGGTGGGGTGGATTACAGCTGTCAAGGATTTCATGTTCTTGGTATCCACAATCAATTTTTCATCCACTCTATTCAGGACCTCCTGGTGTGGTCCCTCTGAGAGAAGTGGCTGGTGGTAGCTGGGCATCCCTAGTTTTTCTGGTCTCAGCGTTCTTGAATCTGATGTGCATGTTGTCCTTTAATCCATTAGACTACTTGTTTCCAGATAATCATCTTTCAATGTTCATTATTCTTCTTTTCTCCAGAGAGGGAAAGACCGATATTTGCACCTTTGAGAGTTCCTTGTGAAGTTTTAAGATCCCAGTAGCTCTACTGACCAACGTAGAACCATATTCTGTCAGTTGACCTTGGTGTCTCCCAAGGCTATGGTCCTAATCCTCCAGGTTCAGCAACTCATTGCCTCACGGTGTTTGGTTATGTCTAAGAAGTGCTCATTAGCCAGTCAGGGTGCGATGTAACAATGATGAGAAATACAACTTTCCTCTAGTTCCTAAATGTTTCCTCCCCGCTCCCACTACCATGACTCGAATTCGACCTTGCAAGTCTGGCTAGACCAGAGGAGGTACACTGGTACAGATAGGAACTGAAAATGCAGGGAATCCAGGACGGATGATCCCTATAGGACCAGTGGTGTGAGTGGCAAAACAGGGAGGGTAAAGGGAGAATGGGTAGGAAAGAGGGAACCGATTACATAGAACTGTGTGTGCCCTTCTCCCTGGGGTACAGACAACCGAAAAGTGGATGAAGGGAGACGTCGGACAGGGCAAGATATAACAAAATACCCATTTATAAACT